TGAACTCCAGTACTCCTTCAACTACAGGACCTACCACGTCCCAGAGAAATGAGCTGCAAGCAATTAAAGACAGAAAAAAACAGTAAATACAAAGCAAAATAATAAAAAAAACAAACCACATGTGCATGGAGAAGGAAAGTGCAGCATGCAAACCCCAAACGCCATCACCAGGGGATCCCCAACGACCGACTGAGGAGTTTCAGTGACTCTAAAATTCAGGAAACAACCTGCCATGGTGACAGGCACTGTAGGATTGTGAGAGTTCACCCAGCCAAAGCAAAGTTCAGAAGTTTTTAGCTGCCATCACAAGCAAGAATAAGATATTTCAGAAGAATATGTAATTTCAGACTGGTTAGTTATCATGGAAGCACCTGAATAAAAATAATGAATTTTTTTTAGCTATATAATTGATAAAACTAATATCTTGAGACAAAAGCAAGAAGAATATGAATTTTTCAGGTGTCCAACAGGAGCAGTTTACAGCTTCTGAGCACGTAGAATACACAACCACATCAAAATACTTTTCAGGGTTTAAAGGGAATACAATCAACTTAAAAGATATTAAAAAAAAGAGAGAAAATTGGCTAAACTAGTACAAAACATTCAAGATATTCTTATTTCTACTTTATATCATTTTAATGCAAGTCAAATTGGCAAACTTAAAACCGACTTTCCTACTTATTTGCACGAATCATTCACATTACAAGAGCTGTAAAATAATTAGGAATATACATTTTTAACAGAAACCAATCTTGGTATAAGATAGATACAATAATAACAAAAACAAAGCCTCTAGCTATACCTCACATTACAAACCCAAAGGACTCTGGTTTTAATTACCTCAAATTTTTTTTGTCTCTGACTAGTCTTTCCCACAATCTTGCTCCCCTTTTCCACCTCCTGGCAGAGGAGCTATTTAATATGTTGCCAATATTAAAAATCCATCTTTCACCCAAATATTTCCACCCATAGATTACAATAGGAATAATTCCATTAGTTTACATTCAGATTTAAATTAGAAATATTGTCATAATCCTGCAGAATTAAGCCCATATTAATCATAGGGGGGTTTTTTTAAGAGTATCTACAATTCTTGCTTTAAATCAACAACAACCATGTTCGTAATATCTACAGATTAGGTCCTTCAGAATTTAAAACTAAAATTAAATTCAGCATTAGTTTATCAGTGTCATAATCATCAGAGCATTGAAGATCATCTCAGAAGACAACTTTATTACTTACCAGATAAAATTAACTGTACAGCTTGCCTATACTGAAGCCCCTGACAAGTAATATATGCATCTCCAGGCTGTATAAAGAAATATCTGATGGACTGTAAATAACATCACCCATTTCTGCTAAATCCTTGGTGAAATGGACCAGTATTGCAAACAAGAACCATGTGAACAGGACAATCATCCTGAGCACACTGAAAAGGCATCACCTATTCTGTCACTACTCATTTTCTTTTCAAAGTATGAAGCTATATAATTGATAAAATTAACATCTTGAGACAAAAGCAAGAAGAATATGAATTTTTCAGGTGTCCAACAGGAGCAGTTTACAGCTTCTGAGCACGTAGAATACACAAAGCACATCGCCTCCAACTGCAAAGTGAATTCCCCAGCACTGCAGTGGATTTGGATATACTATATCCTTGGCTACTAGAAGCATGGTAAATATACCTGGAATTAAGCATGTTAATATTAATTGCAAAGTCAGTAAGTCAGCAGTTGCAGAGTGACACTGCAGGAGGAACACAAGCCTCAGCAAATCTGTGGGTAGAAAGAAATTAAGAGCCCAGAAGTACCCAAGAGGATCTACATCTGGAAAATTCCTAAAACTTTCCCCAAAAATCACGCAAAATAAAGATTTCAAAGAGTCTTCCAAGACAGGGAGAAGGTAGAACCCATCGTTATCTTACTTCTGCCTGTTGTCTTCAGATGTCAACAAAACTGGAGTGAAAGTTGACAGCTTGGTCCCTTTCTAGATCCTTGGATAAGCGTTACACAAACAAACAAGATTCACAACCACAAACCCTGCTGCTCCCCTGATAGTTCCAACCTCATGATCAAACAACACATACATTATTTAAAGTGGGCAACCACACACAAAAACTGTAAGAACTACAGTACTACAGAGTTTTATCTACAGTGGGAAAGGATTGGGCCTTGTTTTTCTGAAAATCTCATAAATTCAGCACAGAAAAAGCATTTAATTAAAAAGTGTGACCACCATTTGCCAAAGAAATTGAGCACTTAAGGCAAAGAAGCACAAGCATCTGCTGGGAAATATAAATTAGTAAAGTACCTCAATGTGACAAAGCAAACAATTGAGATCCTAAAAGTAAACTTTATTTTGCACGGCGGATGTTATTGGCTGTAATTCACAGCCAAGAATGCAGCTGGAGAAAAACAAAACTTCTCAGGCTTGGAAGATAACTGTTTCATTCAATTCATAAAGAACACATTGTGAAGCATTTCTGGCATATTGCAAAACCTATTAGCAAATATTTTATGTGCAAATATCAATATTTTTTAAAATCTAAAGTGCTACTAGGGTTAAACAGTGGCAAGAGTTGAAAGACTTTTGCTTTGTTTGAATCAACTATTCTTGATTTCTCCTTTTTTCTTGACAGAACAAACAAAATCTGCCCAAGCCAAATTATACGTGCTAAATCAGCCAAAAGAAATATGGCAACTTTTTTCTAGCTTCTAAGCCACTTTCATGTTAGTTCTGCTTCTGTCCCTGACACCAAAAAAAATACAGCAGAGATGACTAAACAGTAAAGTGTAACAGGGTCAACAAATTTGGAGAGAGATTATGAGATGGAAACAGGCAGAAAAAAGAGGAAAAAAAGGGTAAAGTTAAAGCACATTGAGAAGGGAGATGAAACTGCATCAAAACTGGAATGAAAGCTTTTCCCCTTGCCAGAGTTTTAGAATCTCGATAGTTTCCAGAAGTAACACAGTACACAGAAAGGAAACACTTCCAACACTAGTTTTCTTTTAATCAAATGCTAACATATTTGAACTAACAGATATAAATGCTAATAAATGAATAAAAATTCTTAAAACAAACTGTGGTTGAAAGAATAAACTTCAGTAAAAGGTGGGCAACGTAATTTTACCTGACAAATAAAGTCCAATTTCTTACTAATGAAAAAATCTTGCCAGTATTAAATTAACCCTACGTATTGTGTGGCTGAACATGCAAAAGCTGAAAGCACAACTATTTGCATCCAGTCTCAGCTGTAATTTCCTGGGGAAAATCATGACCAACTCTCACAAAGTCCTCTCATAAATATGCTGAAGTGTCCTATCCTGCCCACTTTGGTACAGCAAAAGAATAATTTTGAAAAAAGATGTTATTCAAGCTTGATTTTTCACATCCATACCACCATCCAGGGAAAGAAGGCTCACAATCTGTTTACACTCAAGCGTGGAAGCGGAACCTAAACATTTCAGAGCAATTTGGAATGAGATCCTTGGCACTAAATCTGCAAACCCACTGCTTTTCACAGCATTTCACCAGGAGACAGAAGAGAGGCCAGAAGGGATGCTTCACATTTGCTAGAAACTTGAAGCATGACAAGATTCAGAGCAGACAGCCTACTCCATGCAGTTATTTTCTACAAACTCAAAAAGCAATGAATTTAAATAAACTTAAAGGACAATAATTCCCAGAAACAAACAACATGTAGTTCTAGTGATGCTAACAGACAATAAAAAAGCAATAATTTGCCTTCTCGCACACTGTGATTGTTTCACGTGCAGCAAAAATCAAGAACTCACCTCATCGTACTGTGAGTAAAAGAAGCCATTAATTTAAAAAACAAACAAACAAAAAGAACCACAACCAAACCCAGAACTTCTTTTCTTGTGAAGTACGTGAAAGTGAAGATCTCTAACTCCCATTTCAGAAAAATGACTTTTAAAAGGATACGGTCTGTACCAGGGAACAACGTTCTTCCAGTCAACAGTTCAGCCATAATGCATCCCACTGACCAAATATCAACTGAACAAAATAAAATAAACAAAACAAAACAACATAATGCAGAAAAAATAAAGTCTCAATAGAATCACTCTATCCAACAAGTACAAACAACTTTATCCTTAAATAACCTTACAGCATTGAAACAATCTGAGATGTGTTGGAAGCTAACTGGTACTGTTCAGTAATTACATCATCTAGGACTTGTCCAGGTAACAGAATAGTAGATCAGGTAAATTTTCCTTCCAGAGCATAACATGCATTGAGCACCAAAGAGCTGGGGAGGAATCTACACAATCAAAGAGGAAAAAACCTGTTCAAGACAACCCTGAGGAATTAATTTGCATATGGCCTTGGATAAATTCTACCCAACCAACCATCAACTATTATACTACAAATACAAGACAAGTCCATACACATGCAAGAGGAAAAGAGAAAAGAAGAATAAGTTGTAAGGAAGGAAATCAGAGTAGCACATTATTTTCTTTGATCCATTTGCTCTCCTGTACAAGAACTATTCTCAGAATTTGCTT